TATTATTTTTTTCCTTTTGTAGTACAACTATTTTGTTTGCAAGTTTTTTTTGCTAGTATTTTTGTTCAAAAAAGTTCGTGTTTTATTATAAAAAAAAATGCTAGTGTCCATATATGATGGATTGCATTTTTCTATTCATATTCTTAAGTGTACACAATAAGACCACAACAAGTATGATCATGGCACTACAGTTGTAGGGGTGGCAAATTATGACACGGCACGACAAAAATACACGACATGAAACGAAATTGGGACGAAACTGTAATTTGAATTCGTGTTCGTGTCGTGTTCGTGTTAACGGTAAAAAAGACGATGTCGTGTCGTGTCGTGTTCAAAATTCGACACGAAATTGACACGATTTAGCAGTTCTTTATCGTGTTTGTCATGTTATATTTGATAAAGTATTCATTAAATAAACTAGTTTTAGTATATTTTATATTTGTCGTGTCGTGTCGTGTTTGTCGTTTTTTAATTCGTTCGTTTTCGTGTTAGTTAAAAAAAACACGACATCGTGTCATGTCGTATTCGTGTTACATAAAACATTATCGTGTTGTGTCAGACAGAAACACGAAACGATAGCACGATTTGTCACTCCTATGTGGGAACACAGCTCCGCTCATTGAAAGCAATGTAGTAGGAGTCATGTTGCGGTGAAAGCACCCCATCTCTCTTCTCCTTCCAACCATTGCTTCAAGATCAAAAGGAACCATTTTTTAATCCAAAGTGGAGCAATATGTGAAATTTTTGGATCCAAATTGAAATTTTGGATCAAAGTGAAATTTTGAATCCAAAGCACGAGTCAGGACGAATCCACAAGATGGATCCATATTGAAAAAGGGTTATATGTTTTGGGTTTAACGCATCTAAGACGATTCCAAGCATATTTTTATTTATTTTTTGCATTATATTATCATATTATCGTTTATTACATTCTTTTTACTTTGAAGTTTTTTGTATTACATTATCATATTATAAACCAATTAAATTTGATTTATATTCATTAAAAAAAATCTAAAATATGAAAGGTTGTGAGAGGAGTGACCCCTTAGTCTAAATTGCTTCATTGAACGTAATTGATAGTCTAATATGAAGTATACATGAGGACCCCATACACATTGTACACTCATTATCTAGTCATGTTATAGTTGGCTTACATATTCATAGTTGATCCTTGTTTTATGCATATGTTATATATAGATGTGTTATAGTTGGCTTAAATGTTCATAGTTGATCCTTGTTTTATACATAGGTTATATATAGATGTGTTTGTGCATATGCTTTGTAGAAAGAAGATGAATATAATTATCATCTTAGCTTGACAATGCCGTCCATGTTGGTCAATAGTTATTGAGTTACTACTAGAAAATGATTGACTATTGACTTATACACCAACAACATAGTAGACAAATACAGGTTCGACCCTGACATTTTGGAGGTCTTGTGCAAAAATTAAAATGAAGCCCCATAAAAAATCTTGAAAGATTATTGAGTAAATTTCATACCACTAAATTCAAAACATAAAGTTGATAACAAACATCTTGTAAATTCCATGCCTCAACATTATACATGGGTCTTTACTCGTTAGTAATAAACTAAAAATAATACAAAAAAATTCAAAAACAATACAACAAACGAGCGCATTACTATTTTCTAAGCATCGTCATTCTAGCATTTTTAAAAGTAAATTCATCTCTTACACTTTCATAATCAATATTTTCAAGAAACTCGTTTCAATCAAAATCATAGAAAAAGCGTTTAATCTCTCTTGAGACATGGTAGATCGCAAATAAGAGTTTAAAAGCATTAGTTTTAAAAAATTTATTTCTACTAATGCAATTGTAATGAGAACGGTCAGCAATATTTTCTATGTAAGACAAGAAACTAGATAAGTGTATATCATTTTAAGAAATTTGGTATTGCATATTCAACTGGTAATTATTTTGTAACGATTTCAAATGGTTTAATTCACTAGTATTCGATGATTTCAATTTTTCTGTTGTGAAGAAACCAAAAAAGTATTTATAATGCTTGTATTTTCCAAACCTTTGCTCCGATAAATCGATAGTTGTATCAACCATATACACAAAATACTCATCCCAAATAATGCTTAAGGCGATAGTTTATGTACTAGTTCTTAGGTTTTGAGTTTTTTAGGTTTGTTTTCTTTAATCTGTGGATTTTATGAATATTAAAAACCTTGCTAGATATGTTATTATTAGAAATATAATTTGTATTTTTCATAGATGTAAATACTTTCCCTAAATTGTTGAAAAACCTTACCAGGTTTAGGATTTGTATTTTAAAATCAGATTTTGATGGTTTAGGTTTTGTATTTTGTAATAAGATTTGTTTTTTATTGTTTTTTCCATAATTATTAGGTGGTGTTTCGCAAAAAAGTTTATTATTTTTTTAGCTCATAGCTTATTAGTTTATTGTTATTATGACTTATTAGCGGTTTGTCATTGCTATAAGTTTTTTTGGGGTAAAATGACATATATGCCCTATTATGTTTCTAGGGTTTATCCATTTAGACACTTCACTTATTTTGTGACTTTTTAATGGAATGAATTACACTTTGTCGGGTCGATTAAGCCCTTATTTCATTTGTGAGGGGGTCAGTCGGTCATTTTTAGTCCACCTCCCTCTAGTAACACCACATAAGATGTTGATTGTGTCTTCCGTGTAATACCATGTCTTTAATTAGTCACTTCATTCTTACTGTTGGTATATGCTTTATAAAAGAGCCCTTTTGACATTCATTGTTCATCACTTCATCGATAAACCCTTTGTTGTTTTCTACTCCTGAAACCTCAAACATGGAACCCGTATTCTTACAAGTAGATGTGCACTTGTAAGGAATCTTCTCCAAATACCACATACGCTACACCAGCGGAATTACTCAAAGGTTTTCGGATATCGATTTCGCAGGCATGGACAAGGACAGGTGCTATGCATTCATCGAAAGGTTCGATGGGGAAAAGGGTGAGAAGCTCTATTACTGCCAACCTGGCATTGATTTTCCAAAAGGTTTGACTTTAATTAGCAATGACCCAGATTATTTCGACTTTATAGCAATTACATATGAATGTGGTGTTATACTCCCTATGTATGTAGGCCATTTTAGGAATAGTAACATGCAGGAATGGTTGGGAAAACACAAAGTCGAGGTTGTTGGTAACATAGAGGAAGAGATACTTGATGGTGCAGGATTGATTAAGGAAGTTGCAAGAGGGCATCGAGATGTGGATGAGGTTGATAATGAGGAAGACAATGGTGATGAGGATGAAGATGAGGATGAGGATGTTGATGACGATGATGATGACCATGAGAACCCTCATTTTTTTCAAAAATGATAATGGGCTTCAGTTAGACATGGGTGAGAATGCAGGTGTAGGTGAGCCTTTGGAAGAAGACACAAGTGACAATGAAGATGTTTATCCTGAGTTGCCAAATATTTTCAATGATAAGGTCAATTGGAAGGAGCAGGAACTTGTGTTAGGTATGAGGTTTGAGAGTCCTAAACAATTGAAACACATATTTTGTAACTATGCTGTCGTGGATGGTTATCAATTATGGACCCACTTTAAGCAACAATTTTATAACAATCAAAAGATGAGTGTTCGGTTGCTTAGAGAGGAGGTAAAAACCACTTTTGGCATTGATATGAGTATGAGTCAGTATAGGAGAGTCAAGAAGTATGCATTGACACTAGCTGAAGGCACAATAGCAGAAAACTATGCAAGAATATGGTCATATGGTGAGGAGATTAAAATATCAAAATCCTGGATCCACAGTTAAATTTTGTTTTGATGCAATGTCTGATGGTAAGAATTACTTCAGCAAGATGTACATATGTTTTGCTTTGGTAAAAGAGGGAATGAGGGGAGGGTGTAGGAGGATCATTAACCTAGATGGTTATTTCCTGAAAAGTTTTTGTCAAGGGGAGTTGCTTTGTACTTTTGGTAGGGATGCTAACAATGGAATATTCCCCAATTGCTTGGGAAGTTGTTTATGTAGAAAACAAGGACAATTGGAAATGGTTCATAGAAACTCTTTCAAAAGATTTGAAATGTTGGAATGAAGGACAAAGTTTGGTTCTAATTTCGGATCAACACAAGGGATGGTACATAAATATTTCATGTTCTAAAATTATTAATTGAAATTCTAAGTTCAATCCTTCATGTGACATATGTAGGGTTTGGTTGAGGCAGTAAAAGAAGTATTCCCAGCAGCTGAACATAGGCAATGTGCTAGACATATCTATGCAAATTTTAGAAAGAGATTTAGTGGAGCCAAGTTTGAAAATTTGTTTTGGAAAGCAAACAAGGCAACAACCGAAGCACATTTTAATAGAGTTATGAAAGATATTGAAAAGTTGAATCCAGCTGCAGTTGTGCATCTTATGGATAGAGATCTAAAGACTTGGTCTTTAGCTTTTTTCAGAGTTCATAATTCATCTTGTGAGTCAGTGGAGAATGGTTTTTCAGAGAGCTTTAATAGTGTGATTTTGGATGCCTGGAAGAAAACCTATCATAAGCATGTTAGAAGGCATTCGTATATATGTGATGTAAAGGATGGTGAGAATGAAACTATTCGGAGAAGGATGGAATCGTTATTCCGTTTGTCTGAATATTAGAACAAGGTTGAATATTCTCCAAACTGAGCAAAGGTTTGTACACTTATCCAATAACATCCATACCTTACTTGTCACATCTCTTAATATTTTGGTTTTTCAACTATGTAGGCATTGGTAGGTCGTATCTTGTGGGGGTATGAAGTTTGAAGCAAGGAAAATGGACGATACATATATTGTTCATGTTCAAAAAAAGGAATGTAGTTGCACGCTATGGCAACTTAATGGGTATGGCTGCGTACATTCGGTTGCCACCTTAGCCTATTTAAATATTACACCTGATGGGCCATATGTAGATCCACTGTACTTGGCAGCATACTTCCGTAATACTTACAAACAACCAATCCATAGGATGAATGGAAAAAACATGTGGCCTTCTACAGACTTCATACCCCCTTTGCCTCCATTGAAAAGACGAATTTCAGGCAGGCTAACCATAAAGAGAAGAAGGGATGCTTCTGAATGGATGGGAAAACACACTATTTTAAAGGCAGGGAAGAAGGTTTCTTGTAGCATATGCAAAGAGAAAGGCCAAAAAAAGGCCACTTGCAGTCAAGTTATAGGTCCATCCAAATAAAATGGGACAAAGAAACAAAAGATCATACCTACACAAGAGTCTGTGAACCTTACAAAAGGGGGTGGGGATGATGAGGTAATGGTTGATGCACGTGATGCATTGGAGATGAGTAGTCAGGATGAGCAAGTGGTGGGAGTCAATGGACGTGGGGAAGGGGTCATGGCCAATGCTCGTCTTTGTCAAATTCACCATGCAGAACCATCTAACAAAAGGAAAAAGTCGGAGAGAATCATTAAAATGAAGCTTGCTAAAAAAGTGGGAGGTGAAGGTAGCAGTCCTGCAGAGGCTATGGAGTTGGATTAGATTATGGTTTGATATTTGTATTTTATGTGTGCTATTTAATCTTATGAATGTGTATGAGAACAAGGATTAATGTGGTGTTCATCATTCGTGCGTGTTGAAATAAATGAAATGATGTATGTTATGTTGCTTTATGGTATGGAAAGTTGTTTTGGTCTTTTCCATAACTAAGAAATTCAAGAATTTTAGCCACTGTAAAGGAGTTAGGATTGCAAGGGTATTTAAGTCATTTCCATCAAACAAAACTATAGGGGTATTTTGTTCATTTAGATTAAGTTATTATGGAATTCCTATTTTACTCATGTGGATTAACTAAGAAATTCAAGAATTTTAGCCACTGTAAGGGAGTTAGGATTGCAGGGGTATTTAAGTTATTTCCATCAAACAAAACTATAAGGGTATTTTGGTCATTTAGGGTGGTTTAGCCATTTACAGTATGTAATCAAGTATGGGTATGTTCGTCATATAAGTAAAGTGACCATTTAGGGGATACTTGTGTCATTACTAAAAAAAATTGGCTGTGGGGGTAATTAAGTTAATTTCTGTAACAGGTTAGATGTGACTTAATCCATTAAGTTATTCCTGTAATAGGTTATCTGGCACTTAATCCATTAACAATCAAACAAGAAAACGTGCACTGACAAGGAAACAAGAAAAAGTGCAGATTAGAAAAGTGTTTTCCCAAAAAGGGTTACAGACAAGGAGCATTGTGCCTTGTGTGCAAAAATTATGTTTTTTTGTTCCTTTTACCCAACTGCATCATTTGTGGTCCCTGTGTATCTGCTTAAAAAAAAGAAGATTGACTTTGCTTTGGCTTGTGGTCCCATCCCAGCAATGAAGATCCACAGGAATGGGACTAACTTAACCAAACATATATAACCCTCAAATGTTTCACTCGTTCGTGCACATACACAGACACAGGTGTAAGACGGTTTTTTTAATAATATAAACCAACATTTCAGCCATGGGTTCGTTTACATCATTGTTTCCTATTCCATAACATATTACAAAGTTCATCGACAAAAACTTCATCAAAAAAGGATGACCATCACCAATCCAGTCACCACCACCACCAACTATATGCACCAGCACCAAACCCACAAACTATTACCAGCACCAGCAACAAGCACCACCAGACACAAAAATCTATTACTAATATCGGCAATAAACAACTTAAATAACACATCAAAACACAAACCCATGACAAAAATGCTTTAACCTAGACTTCTTTTGTTACTTGAAGAACATGTACGTACACACACCCACAGTAGCAACACCAACAATCCCAACAAAATACTTCACTTTCTTACGTTTGTTGTGCTCCACGACCATTTTCACATGCGACCCTTGCAGAGAAAAGATATGATTCTTAAGATCATCAAGGATATTAGAGATATCCAGCTGACCAGCGCGAACGTCATCAACCTCACGGTTCATGGCATCCAAGTCTCGATTAACACCCTTTTGGAGCTCACACAACTGGTCTTGGAAGTCCTCCCGTATGAGAGACAATTCAAGTTGGGTTTGCAGTAGATTGATGGTCATGTCTTCGTTGGTTATACGATTCAAATGATTCTCCGTCATGTGACGGCGATAGTCTGGAGACCAACTATGTTCACCATATGCTCGCGAAGGCATTTTCCTATTTCGGAGTGAAGTTAAAGACGAGATTGGGGTAAGCAAGTTTCCAGATGTGCCATTTTAGGGCAACAAAGTCTTCAATCTATACGGAGGCGGCTTGAACAGTCGAAGCGTGCTCCCTACGATTCACATACAAGACGACGTCGTTTGGGTTCTTGGGACGCTTTGACTTCTTGTCATGTCATCACTTACGTGTTAGGTTACGCTTATGTGGCTATGGAAACCGGCTACAATATGTCAAAGGGATTAGATTGCTAGGTTACAAATAATTTGTTCCCTTAAAAAGCCATAAAATAAGTTAAGTGACTAAATTGGTAAACCAGAAACTTAATAGGGCATATATGTCATTTTCCCTTTTATTTTTATCCAAACATTTGTTTTTTAACATACAGTGGTATGAAACCACTAATAAGGTAACATGTTGTTTGGCCAAATACCCCCTTAATATATTTGAAAGTTCAAAGTTACATGTATATGAGCACTTGTTGTATGTCTAAATTTTTTAATAACACATAAAACATATATATTTTTCTATAAAAACATATATCATAATTCATAACTATGTATATGCCTCTGGATTTAGAAGGCCGTTAAGATTGGAGGAATCGCATTTTTTTTTGCCAAAAAAAAAAAAACCTCACACATTCATACTCTAACCGATGAATTTTCACAGCTAGCTGTGGAGTTGATGTTAAATGTTTATCATGCAATTCATGCTGCTAACGCATATTCACAATAGTCATCGTCGTCACCATCTCCTTCTGATTCTGCAGGGGCATAGTCGTAATCTCCATCATCATGGTCGCCATCTCCTTCTAACGGTGGTGCATGGTCATAAAGATCGTCTTCTTTGTCTCCATCTGCATGGTTACAGCAACACCACCCTCTGATTGTCTTAATAACCGAATACATTTTCTTCATGAGAGACGTCTAAGAAGAAATTCTAGAGTTTTAATTGATTTTGATTATATAAGTGAAACGATTGAGGAAGTAAAGAGAGAGAAATGTCAAAATGTGTTTTCATTATTATGAACTAATGGTTACAGACCCTGACCAATATATATACATAGAAAGATAGTCAACAATAAAGTCAACAGATTAACTATTTAACAGAATCTGTAACTAACACATACTTGACTAACAACTAACTAACATCTTGACATCCCCCCTCAAGCGAAACAACAGGTAGGATGTGAAGCTTGGATCGAAGATGTTTGAATCTTGAAGTAGATAGTCCCTTTGTTAGAATGTCTGCAATTTGTGAAACAGTAGGAACATAACATATTCGTAAACTCTGAGACAACACCATATCCCGAACAAAATGGGTATCTATCTCGATATGTTTTGATCTTTGATGAAAAACGGGATTAGCAGCAAGATATGTGGCTCCAAGATTATCACACCAAAGTATAGGCGGAGAAGAAACAGACAATTTTAATTCTTGAATTAAAGACATAAGCCATCGGATTTCTGCAGCTGTATGAGCAAGAGCTCGATACTCGGCCTCTGTATTGGATCTAGCCACTGTATGTTGTTTCTTTGAGCTCCAACTTATAAGAATGCAACCAAGAAAAACACAAAAACCACTCGTGGACCTCCTAACATCCAGGCACCCAGCCCAATCTGCATCAGAGTAAGCATGTAATGACATGGATAATGTTTTTCGTATCACAGGACCATGATTAATAGTGCCTTGAAGATATCTTAATATTTGTTTGACCGCAGTCCAATGTTTATCTGTGGGTTGTTGAAGAAACTGAGATACCTTGCTCACAGCATATGCAATTTCTGGACGAGTGATCACAGCATATTGTAAAGCACCAACAGTACTTCTATAAGTAAAGACATCATCCAAAGGTGTTCCAGAAAATCGAGACAATTGTTGTCCAGAACAAACAGGAGAATCAAGAGGTTTACAGTGACTCATGCCAGTTCTTTGTAACAAGTCAAGAATATAACGTTGTTGTGAAAGAATAAGACAATCATCACTAAAAGTCGCTTGAATTCCAAGAAAATAACTGAGTTGACCCATGTCTTTTAAGGCAAACTGAGAATTCAGTAGTTGTATCAATGTACTAACATGATCAGATGAGCTTCCAGTGACAATTATGTCATCAACATATATAAGCACATATGTAAGATGAGTGGAAGTATGACTCACAAAAAGAGATGTATCAGATAGACATTGAACAAAACCAAGAGAAATCAAGACTGTGGATAACTTTGCAAACCACGCTCTTGGAGCTTGTTTCAAACCGTACAACGACTTCTTGAGAAGACACACATGATTCGGAAGTGTTGGGTCAACAAAACCAGAAGGTTGATCCATGTATACAGTTTCTGTGAACTCTCCATGTAAAAAGGCATTGTTTACATCAACTTGTCTTATTGTCCAACCCCGTGAAAATGCTATAGAAAGTACAAGTCGAATTGTTGAAGGTTTAACGACTGGACTGAAAGTCTCTGTATAATCCACACCTTCGGTTTGAGAAAATCCTTTGGCAACAAGCCGAGCTTTGTATCTACTAACGGAACCATCTGGATTATGCTTAATCTTGTACACTCATTTACAACCCACTATATTTTTATTCAAAGGTCTTGGAACTAGCACCCATGTATGATTAGCATTAAGAGCTTTAATTTCAACTTTCATGGCATCCCACCAGACTTGCCACTTTTGAGCTTGATGAAAAGTTGATGGTTCAATAGTTGGACAAACTTGAGATTCATAAACAAATTGATCACTACGAGGTGTAACTCGTCGAGTGTTGTCACGGGTTCTAGTTGTCATTGGATGTAAAGAGGTTGTATTGGAAGATAAAATACTTGGATTTGAATTGGATAATGAAGATGAAGGTTGAGACAAATGAGAGAATGGCATAGATGGAATTGTTACTGACGATGTAGTGGGTATTGTTTTTGAAAACATGGGTGATGGAATAGAAAAAGTGGATTCATGAAATGTAACATGTCGAGAGGTATATGATTTTAGTGAATGTGGATCATAACAAAGGTATCCTTTGTGATTTGGAGCATATCCAACAAAAATACATGGGATTGACTTTGGTGAAAGTTTATCATCACGAATATCTCCAAGAAATGGGTAACAAAGACAACCAAATGTGCGAAGTAATGTATAATCTGGTTTGGATCGATACAATATCTCATATGGTGAAGTATGATCAAGAACTTGTGATGGAATTCGATTGATAAGATAAGCAGCAGTAGCATAAGCATCAAACCAGAATTTCTTTGACAAATTTGCATGAAATAACAAAGCACGTGCAACTTCAGATAAATGTCTGTTCTTTCTTTCAGCTATACCGTTCTGTTGCGGGGTGTGAGGACATGACATTTTGTAAGTGATTCCAGATTCACTCATAAATTGTGCCATCTGTCCTTGTGTAAGTTCAAGAGCCCCATCACACTGAAAATATTTAATCTTTGTAGAAAAAAGATTTTCTACATGATTCTTGAAATGGCGAAATGATGAAAAACATTGGAACGATGAGACAAAGGATAAAGCCATGTAAACCTACTATACTCATCAATGAAAGAGATAAAGTAACGATAACCAGAACGAGATATAGTAGGTGCTGGACCCCAAATATCTGAATGTATAACCTCTAAAGGTACTTTGCTATATGATAATCTTGAAGAAAAAGATAACCGAGTTTGCTTTGCAATACTACAATCATTACATGGTTTATTATCACTGGACTTATTCAAAAAAGAAAGTTTTGAAAAAACATATGAAGATGGATGTCCAAGTCTAAAGTGCCAGAGTCTATTTGAAGAACCATCCAAAGCACTGTCAGCAACAAAGGAGTAAAGATTACTGCTGCTATGCGGAATGTGGTAGAGTATCTGACCTGCCCAATTCTTGATAGAAAAACCAAGATATGAGAATTCAACAAGACAAGGATTGTGTTTTACAAGATCAGCAATTGACAGAAGATTTTTGGTCAACAATGGCACAAGAAAAACTCGAGATAGTTTTAATGTGCATTTAGGTAAGTTTAAAAAAGCATGACCAACATGAGAAATAGTTAGAGATTTACCATTTCCAATGATTAATTTTCCAGAACCCTTGTACGGAACAGCTCCATGAACAAGATTGGCATTGGGAGTCATATGAGTAGTTGCTCCTGAATATGGTATCCATGACTCAACCATTTGACAAGTATCTGAGAAGGAACAATCAGTTGATAAACCCATATTTGCAGCAAAATTTTTATTTTCAATTCTCGATTGTGAACATAACAAGGCCAATATTGATTTGTTGAAGCCCATGTTGAAAAATGCTCAGGTCCAAATGCTGAGTAACCAGTAACATTACCATGCTGAACAGAGTTGTTTGTGTGCTGATTATAAGGATGTGGATTAAAACCAGGTTGATTTGGATCATAAGGTGGATGTTGCTGTGATGATGGAATACCAACATTAGCATTCTCTCCCCAATTCCACCTTTCAGCACTACTGTGATTCAGTGTAGAATCTCCATAATTGGTGAATCCAACCATATTTCCAGAAAAATTACCATTAAAACCACCTCTACTTCCTCCATTAAAGTTTCCATAATTTCCTCTGTTAGACCTTCCTCTTCCACGAAAATTATTTCTTCCACCTCTTCTTCCTCCTCGATTTTGTGGAAACCCACGATAATGAAAGCATACACTTGCATCATGTCCAATTTTATGACAAATTTGACATATCACAGTTGATTTTTCAACATGAGGAGGTTGATTTGAAACTGTGACATTCATAGCACTAGGTGACTGAAGTTGACTTGAAACTAGTGCATTCATGGCATTAGGAGAATCAGAAGTTCTTTTGGATTGTCTAGCTATTCTTTGTTCATGTATGAGTAGTTTTGATCGTAATGTGGCAAAACAAGGTGGTGTATCATTGTTTTCAATCATCATAACAAAATTATCAAATGCAGCATTAAGACCATGGAGACAATGAAGAACAAGATCTGATTCAGATAGTAAATCGCCTACTGATTTGAGTTGCTCATGAAGAATTTTTATTTTATCACAATATAAGCTGATAGAAAGTTCACCTTGAGATATACTCTGTAACTCACTTCTCAATTGAGATTTCTTTGCAAAAGCCTGCTGTAAGTATGAAGTTTCAAGTAATTTCCAAATTTCTGCTGCGGTTTTAATTCCAATCGCCATGGGAGCAACAGAGACATGAAGAGTGGCGTTAATACATGCTTGAACGTATCCATCCATCTTTTTCCATGTGATGAAATCTGGTGAAGTAGATGCAGGTGGAGAAGTATCTGAATCAATGTATTTCTCCAGATCCATGGTTTGAAGTATAGTTTTGAATTGATGTCGCCACACTAGATAATTCTCTCCATCCAGTTGAGTAGAAACGAAATTCGTGATGTTCGAGACAGGAAATTGTGTGATATTTGTCGCCATTTCAAAAAAAATCACAACGATTCAAACCTAGAAATTGGGGATTTTGTTTGACCTAACTGAAGAAAGAAATCGATTGAGCTTCCAATCAATTTAGGGAAGAAAGAAAGGAGAAACAGAGATCTGAGCTCTGATACCATGAAACGATTGAGGAAGTAAAGAGAGAGAAATGTCAAAATGTGTTTTCATTATTATGAACTAATGGTTACAGACCCTGACCAATATATATACATAGAAAGATAATCAACAATAAAGTCAACAGATTAACTATCTAACAGAATCTGTAACTAACACATACTTGACTAACAACTAACTAACATCTTGACAATAAGAAACTAAGAAGCCATGCTTATATAGGCAAGAGAAGCAAATTCTGAGTAGGAAAGAAACTGAGAAGCCATGCATATTTATGAGCAAGAGAAGTAAACTGGACATATTTTCACATAGTTCTACCCACGAGAATAAGTGTGGAGTTTTGATGAAATGGTGTGGCTCACATATATGAGGGCACTATTTGAGAAAAGTTCAACAGACAAGTAGATCGAGAAGATGTTAATACTAGTGCTCAAGAAGGTGCATGTCTATAAGGTGCTTGGGTGGGCCACATGAGAAATGTTATAAGAGTTGTTTATTACTTTGGCTGCTGAAAATTAAAGCAGCACTAAAGGATGTTGCCCTCATATTGGCAAGAGTTCATCAAAAAGTTGAAGTGTGGAGTCATTACATAATATGGTTGATAGGTCATCCAGCTGCCAAATAGGACTTTGTACGATTAGTTCAGCCAGATGCACTATTTGTGATAGTTTATATTGTATGTATTTTATTAGTTTGCATAGTGTAGGGGACTCAATACTGGATCTATATATTGCAATGGAATATACAGAAACCCTAACTGGTATTTTCACAATAATTAACATGGTATCAAAGCCACCTTTTTTCATCAATTTTCTGCATCTTTATACACACATTCCTTCATGTGAACATAGTTTATCTTGACCTTGGCCACCCAAATATTGAAAGTGGTGCTCAGCAGCGTTACTTTATGCTACTTTTCTCGTTAGGATTCACTATTTTTTGGGAGGAAAAGATCATGAGAATAAATTTTTTGGCTTGTTTTGGAAAAAATACAATATAATAGCCTCTTTTTTCAGGTAAAGTGGTTACCCTCAGTTAATTATATGCCTCTAATCGTGCTGTTCTTGCAAAAATGGTGGTGGGGTTATAAATGGTAAGATGACTCAAATAAGAAAGTTGGTTATTAGAGTAATTTATGGGCATGCGTGGGTGCGCAGTACGCTGTTAAGAAAAGGTGATGAACATTAATATCATCATTGACATGAACTGTAGATCAATAAAATATGAGAAATTAAATATGCTAACTAGCATTATTGTAAACCACAAATAGGTTTATGCTCCCTTCTTACTTATGGTTCATTTTCTCAACATTAGAATTAATGTTAAATATTCATCACCCAACTCATGCTGCAGGGGCATAGTCATAATGTCCATCGTCATCGTCATCATCATCGTCATCATCATCATTGTCGTCGCCATCTCCCTCTGATGCTGCTGGAGCATAGTACTCGTAATCTTCTTCATCATCATCACCATCCCCATTTGCTTCTATGGCTGTTGTTGCATAATTGTAGCCATCATCATTGTTGTCCATGTGTACATGGCTCCTACACCACCAACCTCTGATGGACTTGGTAACATAAGACATATCCCTTAAGTAAGAGAGACTATGAAAAAACTTTGAGGTTTTGGTTGAGTAGAAGAGATTGAGAAGCCATGCATATTTATGGGCAAGAGAAGTAAACTGAGCTTATTTTGGCAGAAGTGCATTACTTTTCTACGTTATTGGTCAAGGTTTGAAGGCATCTCTCTGTCTTTGTTATACACACACAGCCCTTCATCTGATGTAATCCTGACATTAACCACCAAAATGTTGTCATGAAGATGAGATTCTTATCAACAAAGTGTCCATGAAGAGCAAGAAAGTGAAATAACCAAATCTAGACGTGCGTGAGTTGCATGTGTACGTTGTAGAATGAAATTGCTAAGATAGAATGTTGATCATTATGAGGTCATTTTGCAAAGTAGGGACATAAATATGATGGCGTTACTCTGAAAGAATATTTGGTCTTAAAGGCTAATTTCATAAAGTTTGTCGTTAGAACTAGTCTTTTTTTTGTATAGAACGATACATTTTTATCCAAAAAAGGTGAATGTTTATAATATCTCTAATCTCTCTTTTCCTAAAAGTTAAATATAGAATATAGGCAATATGTCTCTTAAATTATGGCTTTTCGATTAAAGATGGCCCCTAGTCGGTCATCCAGGATATCTTCTTATATAGGTCACTACAAGAATAATGGGCATTAGTGGTAATGGTCATCGTTAGCGGCGACACTAATGTCCATTGACCCAATCCGTGTGAATCTCCGATATTAAATCTCACTCGTTGATTTTGTGCCTAATCCAACGACTGATAACACGCGTCGCACATAACAATAGCGACAACACCTTTAGTGGTAACGGATGTCACTGCTAATGCTTGAAAAAAAAGACCCCAAACATGCCCACTAAAACGCGTTGCTGCTAATGGTATCTTGTATGTTTGTGATTTTAGTATCATCATACATTTTGTGTAATTGGAACTAATATGTGACCTAAAGGGCTTATAATATATGACAAGGGTCAAGGGGGTCGCGCCCCCTTGTAGGGTCGTAGGGGCAGCAAAGCAACCCAAAAGGTCTTCGGAAATTTGAATTAGTTTATAGTGGAAAATTTGAATTCTAATGGGTAATTATGGTAAGATTGACAAATCTCGTCACGTTTGGAAACCATTAATTATGTCATTAAGTCGTGATTTATTTAACTAATTTAGAAGACAAAAACCTCAATCTGTCAAATATAAATACGGCTCCTTTATAGAGTCGCAAGGGACCCTTCTTAGCTCTCTTTCTTCTATAACAAATTCATAATTCATCTGGCATTTTGGCTTGTGTTTCTGTGCCTATATTCATAAGTGTCATTTTGGATCTCCAACAATCGAACTGATATCTTTTGTCCGGTGGAGATGATTGATTCAATACGAGAATTAAATATAAAGTTCAACAAACTGGACAAGTTTGAAGGCAATAATTTCAGGTGCTTGTAGAAGAAGATGCACTTCATGTTGACCACACTAAAAGATGCATATGTGTTGAGTACTCTAATGCCTGAGGTGGTTGAAAATGAGACATTGGAAGAAACCATAAAGAGGAGCAAGTAAGACAACGATGACTGCATCGACATGTTGGATCTATATGCTCAATAATCATTATTGAATGATATTGCTAATAACATTTGATCTTATAGGGTCACACATTTATCAAGTTGGCACATTTTGAATATTTATTATTAATAAATTATCGACTCTTATATTTAATTAGGGAATAATTATTGTTTTTGTGAAAATAATAATTAAAGAGAGTAAAACTAGTTATTATATCATATAATATGATTTAATAAGTCATGTATAAAGTTTTGGACACTTAGGTTAACTATAGACTCACTAGTAAGTTACGTTTATTTAGTTAGAGTAACTAGATAATAATTTTGTCTTTTTCTTCATTTATCCAATAAACGAAAATTGTCTAGAAACATAGGAGGTTGCTTTTCAACATTCCTTCCATCTTTTATTCTCATGCTTCTAAAGTCTAGTTATTACTTTATATTATCACATTATGTAGCTTTTGATTGCATGTGGATATATAAAGAGGAGTGGTTCATGCAAAAAGACAAGTCTTTTTTCTCTCTTGGTTTTTCCTCTAAAAATCATAGTTGTCTCTTCACCTCTCTCTACATTGGTTCTTTTGAAGACTAGATGCAAGTATTGGTGATTTAAAGTGCTTCTCCTTTAGTGCTTAATTGTGTTAAGCACTTCAAAGCTTAAGAAGTACTTTATACCAAAAGATTTAGTATGCGTAAGAGTTATTATATAATGATATTGTTAATAATATATGATCCTATAGGGTCACACCTTATAGAAAGTTACCGTCAATTGATTATTTATTAGTATAATTTGATTATTAATAAATATATCAACACTTGTATTTAATTGGAAAAATTACTATTTCGTGGAAATAATATTTTACTAATTGGGAATTTATTATTTGTGGAAATAATATTTATTGGAGAAATAACAACTTATGAAATAGATCATAAAGTATGATTATTTATAAGTTATATTTATATCTTAATAAACTAGTTCAATTTATATAGAAGATAGTTTTATATAAAATAAGATATTTATATATTCATATTTATATCTTAATAAGCTAGTTACAATTTATATATAAAAGGTAGTTTTATATAAAATAAGATATTTATATATGACTAGTTTTATATATATATATATATATATATATATATATATATATATATATATATATATATATGTTGAGAATTCTTTATAAATAAGATTGAATTTTTATAAAGATAACGTGTATATATATACAAACTAACCATGAGACAACTTTTTCTTCTTTTGTGCCTTGCCTTTTTCGAAAAATGAGAGGAGACCAAGCATGGTCTTCTTTTGAATTGTTTAATCAATTCTACCATGCTTGTAAGAAACATGTCTCATGCTTTTGCTTTATGGTCTCTTCTTGCTTTTTAGCCTTTATATAAGGGAGAGCATGGAAGGTTAGAAAGGAGTTCTTGCAAGCCTCATTTGGTTCTTCTTTGGAGCCAAAATCCGAGAGTGCATTGCTCTCTATGGGGCTGCCAAATTTCGAGCTTCATAAGCTCTCCTTCTCCTCCATTCTCTTGCATTTTGATGTTAGACAAAGTCCTTTTTTTGCTTTACCTTTGAACATATATTTGGTATATATCTCAAAGGCTTGTGAACAACAAATTACAAGTGAATACTAGCATGTTTTGATGGTTCTACTCTTGCTTGGTGGATAATTCTACAGAACTCTTGTTTTAGAGTTTCATGTCACACTTCATCAACTTCCAACCTCCCATGAGGATCAAAGTCTTCAAAGGTTGTTATGCTTTCTCTCCTATGGTTATTTTAATCTTCCTAACTCTTGCAAAATGATCATTGGTGGGTAAAATAGCTTTAGAGGTGCCTTCTCAAGCTTTATATCAAATTCTTCACAGTTAAAATTACTAATGCCCCGTTTCTATTTGCACAAAAGAATTAATCGTCTCTAAAATTTAATTTCTAAAAAAATATTGGCATCCGGCTAGTATATATATATATATATATATATATATATATATATATATATATATATATATATATATATATATATATATATATAAAAGGTTCCTTAAATAGTCAACCCTATATAGTGTCAAAAAATTGTAGGTATAACAACCTAATTTCTCATAGCAATAAAAAGGGTATGGCTATCCATACCCCTTTTCAATCTAACAATACCCCTAATTATTACTTATAATCATTAACCTAATAATCAAATCATAATTACATAGAATCTTTTACTTTTTTATTTATAATTATTAGTAATTATAAAATAATAATAATAATAAATAGCTTTTCTTAATATATAAATAATTAAACAATTTTATATACAAAAATCAAAACAAAAAATAAAATTGATGTAATTTATTTAAAAAATAACTTATATGCAATTTATAAAAAGGATGTAATACAAAAAACGGTTATAAAATTTTTGAAGTAATTCGTAAAAATATTTATTAATAAAAAAAATAAAAAATAAATATATATAGATGTAGAAATAAAGTTTATGGATATAAAATGCAATATCTTCAAAAGACAGTGGGCTGAAATGTAAAAATTTATAAGTATAAAATACTTGCTTTTGTATGAACCCTAGCCGGCAATAAAAAATTTAAAATATTATATTTAAAAAATTGGTGAAATTTTTTTAACAGAACCGTTATAAAAAAAAATTTGTAGTTAATATAAATAACTTTTATTTAAAAAAATTATATGTGTAAGACATATAAAAGGTTCTTTTCTCCAAAACCCTACCAGCGGCCAAGAAGAGAAAAAGGAGGAGAGAAACGCTTCAGAGCTCCGGTTATTCTCACACTTGTTGTTCGACACTCCACGAGGATTAAGGTGGTTCGACATTCCGACGACATCCATTGTGGTCTGACGGGGAGCAGCAACAAGTTTGGTAGTTCACATTGTTCTCTCTCTCTCTCTCTCTCTCTCTCTCTCTCTCTCTCTCTCTCTCTCTCTGGCAGATCCCGAAGGTGGTGGCCGACAACGGTGGTTAGCCTACACCGGGCTGAAGGCGGTGTCTCTCTCTCGTTCAATCTCTAGTTCTTTCCGGTACAATCCAAAGGAGGAAACCGACGACGGTTGTTAGTGGCGGTGGAAAGTGACCGACCGTTGGTTAATGGGTGTGGTTTGCTTTAACTGATGAATGTATAAAAGTATTGTTAACAATTTCTATTCATTTTTTATAAAAGTGATTTATGGATTTATTGTTGTATTTAAATTTTTGTGTAAATTTTCATTATTCTGGTCTTGCACAGTCTTCCAAACGGACAGATAAAGCATAATATACATGAGAAAATTCGGTAAATGATCAAAAAAAATGTGTCATTTAAAAATAATGACCATCAAAAAACTGATTTCGGAATCTGACCATAGGATCCGCAGAGCATCTGCGGATCGAGTAAGCCCTCTGAGGAAACGGAACACCTCTGCGGATCTTGGGTTTTTTATTTTATTTTTTTTTTCATTTTTTTTATTTTTGTTTTCGTTTATTAATATTAATTTTTTTTAATCACATAAGGTATTATGTGACTATTATGTAAAAATATTGACAAAAAATGTTAAAAATAATGAACTTATGTTTAATATCAGTCTACAGAACTGTTTGGAAATCCACAGAACTGTTATCAGCGGATCAGTGTACACCTCTGCGGATCAGTGTACACCTCTATGGATCAACGTATAAATTGTTATACCGGTTAAATATTGTATCAACTCACCCCGGTACTGAAAAATAAAGAAATGGCCTCCAATGCACCAACTTCTACAAATGCAACATCGTCGTCCGATACTCCACGCCCATGTACGACATGAGAGGTGATGGTTATAATACGATGTTGGTTGAACAATTTTGAAGGTGTAACAACAATGGTTACCCCTGATTACCTTGGAGGTGATGAGTGGACCCACATAACAGGTATGTTCAACCTCTCATTTGGACAAGGAGAATATCGGGTACAAGTAGATATTCTTAGTAAGTGGATGGAGTTAAAATACGAAATCACATGGTTTAATCGATGGTATCATCATCTTAAAAATAGTAGTAATTATTATTACTCAAACGAGGAAGCTCTTGTAGAAATGATTTTAGATCATTACATTTTCGAGCATGAGGGAAAAGACTTCGAGTATGTGGACGCTTGGAATCTAGTTAAGAACCACCAGTATTTCATGTAGAAGGGTTTTTTATGTGAAATGTTATATGTAATATGTTTGCTACTGATGTACGTTTTCCATGTATTTGTACTTTTTTGTATTTTATGTTCTATGGAATAAAGTAGAAGTTAACTCAACTGGTTTCTTAAATAACCTAATACAAACCAAATACATATAAATAACGTAATACAAACTGGTGCATATAAATAACCTGATAAAAAAACTACATTAAAATATCCTTCTACAAACGCAATACAAATTAAAAATACGGGGGATCTTTTAAGAGATTCCAAGGGCCTTCAAACTCGAATTCTAACATGTCACTAATGGATATGTATTCCGCTTTCGCCGCGTCCAGGATGACTTCCTCATCTTCATTCGGATGTGTGTCATCAATTTTGGTATAAAGATTGTTGAAAACTAAGACTTCTGGTTTTAATTCATACCATTTTGTTGTGATGGCAACGGTGTTGCGGTAGTTTTCTAGGGCAGTTTGAGGGTCAGCGTTGAAGGCATAAGTTAAACGGGTCCAATAACTTGGATCATTCACCCTGGTGGTCTTGTGGATATTAATATATGCATGAGTTAGACGGAGGTTATCCTCAGCGCTCCATGGTATGGACGCCATTATGAGGGAAAATATGAGGGTTAATTTTTCAAAAAAAATGAAATGAAGAAGAAATGGTACAGAATCGATGAAAGGATACGCATGGTAAAGTGATTTTATATTACTTATTTCGCAGAAATATTTGGGAATCCTCATAACTGTTACGGAATCCGCATAGTTGTTTGGTAATCCGCAGAGCTGTTTGTCAGTCCTTTTCTTATTTAATTGCCCGTTTAAAAAAGTTGTGTGTTTATTAAAAACTATACAAATATTCCATGTTTTTTATAAAACTACACACACCGGTATTCTGAATAAATAACATACTTTAAGTAGGTTACAAAACATACTTTAGAAAACATAAACATACAACCTTCATAATAAACATACTTTGAAATAAACTCCATTCATTCAAATCGAACCACGGAAACTTTGATATGTTTTCGTATTCCGGCCATGGGTTTTATGTTGCTTGTGCCCTAGGTTTACTATCGCTTGCGTCCATTGGTTATCTGGCTCTTGCTGCCATTGGTACTCGGTGCAACCCTGCCACTGGTTCTGTGGCTCTTCTTGCGGTTGGTTTTCAGTCCCTTGCGTCCATTGGTTTTGTGGCTCTTAATGCCATTGATGTTCGGTATGTTGTGTCCATTGGTTGTCTGACTGCTGTTGCCATTGATGTTCGGTCTGTTGTGTCCATTGGTTGTCTGACTGCTGCTGCCATTGTTGTTCGGTATGTTGCGTCCATTGGTTCTCTGGCTCATGCTGCCATTGGTTTTCGGCCGCTTGCGTCGGTTCCTCTTTTGTCGCTTTTGTCCCACTTTCTAACGCCCAGGTATGTTTTTTACTTTTACTTTGGTTCTTTGGAACAATTTCCTTACATGTCGTTTCATTATGAATTGTGCTATGGCATCTACTACACCTTCTTATTTTTGGTTCCTCACCTTGAGAGGGAATACGATTGGTGTTTTTTGGTCTACCGGCTTGACGTATTTCCGTCATAGGAGGGTTAACAACCATAAGGTCATCTGGAACCTCCCAATCACTAAGTTCTGAAAGAGGGTATACGGCCTGCTCGTACGTTCTTCGATATGTTTTAATTTTATAAGCATCTATAGCCATATGCCCACAGTGATCATTTTTCAGCTGCGTTAAAAGATTATCACATGACCAGATGGAAAACCAGTTAGTTGCCAATATTTGCAAGAACAAGTCTTTTCCCTCAAATTCACTATGTCACCACTTTTGAAGTCATGCACTTGATATGTTGTATTGTCAACACCGGATACCGACCATCCTTGAATCCCCTCTTTATTTTGTTTAACCATATCTTCAACCCACTTCGTAAGTATTGTTGTACTTTTTTCTGTTAAAACAAACATATATTATTATATATGACATTTATCATATAATTTAAAATTAAACATAATCATACCTGCAGCCATCCGCCATTTGTAAAACCATTTTTGCATAAATGCGCGAAAGAACTCAAGAAGTGGTAATATAGGCAACTTCCTTGCTTTATTTGATACAGCGTTCAGGGACTCCACACTATTTGAGGTCATATAATCATACCTCATTATAGGGCAATACGCTCTGGTCCATTTCTCACATGGAATTTGACTGAGATATGTCGCTACATCATCTCTTATATTACGAAGTCTCCCCCAATAGAATTCGAACTCAGTGGTTTTGTAAGCTCTTACCAGCTTCCAAAACAGAATTGTTGTTTTTTTGTTTTTTCCAAAGGTGTGGACTATGTTTCCTATTAGATGAAAACCACACAATCCATGTTGAGCATTTGGAAAAACATTTTGAATACTTACAGCAATTGTGGGTGCCCTATTTGTGACCAATGTCAGACCTTCCACATCACCAATGCATTTATGTAGTTTTTCAAGAAACCATGTCCAAGAATCCGTAGTCTCTTTTGGGCAAATTCCATACCCAATAGGCAAGATCTGATTGTTGCCATCCATGGCTACTGCATGCAAGATGGTGCCTTTGTACTTTCCCTTCAAATGAGCACCATCCATAATAATAACTTTTCTACAACACTCTCTGAAAGCACGTATCTGCAACAACAATATAAAAACATTAATATATCAGCAATATAATTTGTTTATAAACATTTAAGAAAATAACAAATATATTTAAAAATATATTACCACGCATCCAATATCGAAAAAACAATACTCAAAACGATACTCCGAATCAGTTTTTATGTACGCCACAATACCAGGATTATGTTTCTTCAGATTGTGAAAATAAACTGGAAGTTTGGAGAAACTTTCTTCGGGGGTCCCCATCATCAATCCTAAAGCAAATTCTCTAGCATGTCACGCTTCTGAATAACTCATATTTATTTGTAGCAAAGCATTCATATCTCTAATTATATCATTAGGCTTCCAAACTCTCAAACTTCCTTGACCCATAATGTCATGTATTATGGTTCTTACAACTTTTGCTATTTGCTTGTCTGTGATTTGGGTGTATAAGCAATGAAGAACATGTATGCTCGTCATTAAACATCTTAATTTCAAACATTTATGTTCCTTTAATGAGAGATGCGTATAAACGCCAATGATAGTTTTCTTGCATACAAACAACCTGGTACCGAGATTTTGAAGATTTTTCAACCTTTATCTGAAACTTTTCTCTAACGGCTTTGAATTTAACAGCAAATGCTAGGTCTTTTTTGGTGTTATAGGTTTGATTGACAATTAATTTATCATTCGAACCTAAACTGTGAAATGGTCCACGTTCAAGAATAGGTTCTGGACAATCAGGAACAGAAGGAATACAATACCATGGATTAAAAGCAGTTTTTCGTTGCGTGTACTCATCATCTGACCACCCTTCATTTGATTTTTCCTCACATCTTCGATCATCAATTTCAGGAACTTCTCCAAACTCGAACAAATTTTGACGTTGTAATTCAGTCATGCCCACTTTTGCTTCTTTATCATTATCTGATACAAAAGTATCATTATCATATACAAATTTATCAGTAACCGAAACTTTTTTTTCATAACCCACTGACACTTCATTTCCTCTTCCCCTTGAACGGTTTCTATCACATTGGCTTTCTCTACGACCTCTATTAGTTTTTGTTGGATTAAACTGGTCGTTAACCACTGCTTGTTCTTCAGCTTCTTCACCTACCACCGTTAAATACAAATGCACCGTCTTCTTTGATTCAGACATTACATGTCTCAATTCAAATACATCAGTTTCATCTCCAAGCTCCATGACATACCCTAACTCCGGGTGTTTAAAAGACAAACATATATGACTATGTAACACATTTGTCTTACTTCTAACCATTTGTAATAACATTTCATGGTCAATGTTAGGATGAAGATTTAAACCATAGTTTTTCACATTATTTCTAATGTAAACCTCATCTCCATTAACTAACTGCCACGACCCTCCCGTACACAAAATAATAAAACTCATTTTACAAATCACTCTCCACAAACACAATGAAAAACAACTTCTACTGGTAATTCAAACTCACAAACTCACAAAAAACCACTTAAATACGTCTATAACTTTTATAACTAATCTGTAGAGGTGTACACTGATCCGCAGAAAATAGTTCTGCGTATTCCCTAACAGTTATGCAGAGGTGTATACTGATCCGCAGAAAACAGTTCTGCATATTCCCTAACAGTTATGCGGAGTAATTAATAGGGATTTAGTTTAAATTGGACAACCATACACAAAATATATAGAATTTTAATATGAGTTCATCTTCAAACTTCTATATTTTCTCTTGCAATGAAGTTGATTGTTACTATTGTGATCCGATTGACCCTTTTGTTGCACCGTCACCAAACATCAGAGGGCAATATATGTCTGATGATACTTTGCAAGAATTACAATAGGCTGAAGAACAACAAAAAATAGATACAGAGTCATCTCGGGCTCTCACTAAACGTCGTGACGTCATTGCGGAAGAGTGCAAACAGGTTGAGGAAAGGATGCAGATTAATAAAAATAAAATCAAAGAGCATGAAGAATGGATAAAAAAGACTAAGAAGAGTATCAAAATGACTGAAAAATGGCTTGTAGAGAAGGATGCAGAAATGATAGAACTTGAGCGGCAAAAAGATCGTTTTGAAGATAAAGTAAGAATTAGGGACGACTATATATCAATGGAGAAAGATAAGTATCCATTGCAGTTCCCTTAAGTTGATTAGTGTTGTTGTACATTTGTTTTGTTATATATATTATCTTGTACTTTAACTTAATTTATAAATTTAACTCTACTATACTAGTCTACTATTTCAAATAACATAATCAAAACATAAGAAAATATTCTTAAAACAATAATCATAATACAATCAAAGTCTACTATTCCAAATAATTTATGCCATCCTATTACGGTAACTAAATCCCGTATCTCTAGGTGACTGACGTGTCTCCACTGGTACACCTGATGCAAGCATTTCCATGAACATGCACAAAAAAACTCCACAATCTCCTTTTTCTCCTTCTTCTACTTTTTCCTGTTGCGGCACATGTTTAGCTTTAACAAATTCCACTTTAGTAGGTTTCTGTATATTGGGAAAATTGGCCCAATATGATATGTGGTCTAGTTCACTTAATATACATCTCCCAACGATTTGAAACTACCGTCACCCGCATATTTTTTAAAGAAACCACACCATTCGGCTGAATCAGATATGCTCACTTTCCATGTAAGGATATCCAAATCAGCCAAATACAATGCAAGTGCGGTATGTTGATGGGAATTAAAACCTTCAAAAAATGATAAGTTATTAGATATATACATATTTTAATTTATTTATATATATATATATATATATATATATATATATATATATACTAACCCGATCAATATCCTTCCAATGTGGTCCATCAACCATCCCGGCTGCTACACGCCTCAAATAATGTTGTTTCCCAGGTTCCAAAGTCGTGCCTTCAGGATTAATAATCGTCCACCTACCAGTCGACGGATTTATTTCCTTGAGCACGGACGTCCAGATAACCAAATGCTGCGTGTTAGAAAAAAAATTCATTTTGTACAATTAATTATCCAACACTTTTTGTAATATAAAATAAGGGTTGTGTGTTGCCTCAGAGAGCAACCATCCAGAGTCAATACCAAGTAAACTTGACCAAATTCCCAATTCATCTCAATACCTCTTAAAAGTCTATGCTCCAAAAATATCACTCCCATGTTCTTTCCCCACAATTTCCAAAATTCATCATCACTATCTGCATAACCGTCCAATAGTAATGGTTTTCTACATTATTGGAATTCTGCGGTTTTTTCCCTTTTCTGTTCTTCAATGGTTTCGTCGACGGAACCTACAAAATCAATATGTTAATTAATTTGGAACGATTATATACTATACAAATAGAAATTACTTAATTTTATACTTGTGAGTAAGGCTCCCGACAAAATTTCGATTTCATTTTTACCCGCCCTTTTAACGGTATAACTGTGTTATCCTTAACTACAACAACAGGCGGTGGCGTCTGCACATACGTATGGCCTGACTCGGGATCCAAACCACGAAAAAATGCTTCCCCCGCATCCACATTTTCCATATCGTTCACACCAAATTGTTTATCTTTTTCCCAATTATCCATTCTCTTCCCAAAGTGCTCGGTTGTGGTTTTCAATTGAGTAACAATGCCCAATAACTTGTCTATTTTACTGTCTTCTAGAGGTATGTGGTATGTTTCCTGAAAATGAGAGGCTAAGGTGTAATCTACTCCCCGAAAATGAGAGCCTGAGGTGTAGTCTACTCCCTGAAACCGAGACAGGTGAGGTGATGGAGACCGCTGCTTAGGAGGACTCTGTTGTTGCGGTGATGGAGACCGCTCCTTAGGAGGATTCTGTTGTTGCGGTGGCGAGTGCACTTTGTCTAGAGTCCAATTTATATAACGCACAAAAAATGGCAAATGGATCTCAACAAGCATTGGTTCAAAAACACATGTGATGTTATTTTACTGCAAAATTAAAAAATTAAATTTAAGTATATAAAATTGTCGTAATTTTTAACTATATATAATTAATATAAGGAATGTATAACTATACCACTGAAACGTCTAATATACATAAACATTGCTCGACGGATAATTGTGTTTTTATTCTCCATGCTCTCATTCTTGGAATTTCATTTTCTATGTGATGCGCAAACCTCAAAGCTTCTGGAAATGTCTCTAAAATTCATACCTAGTATTACGACAAAAAATTATGCTTTGTCCAAACGTATAACCACTTAAAAAATATAAGTAATTGCACCTAAAACTAACCTTAAACGGAAGCTGAAAACCGGTCACCGTATACTTCATCATCTTCGTGTAACCCACACTCTCATTATCTCGTAAATATCTATAGATTTTACCAAACCATAATCGTAATTGTGTTTCACTATACCTCCACAAATACGTACCTCACGCAAACCTGTTGTACTCATTATAATTAATATAAATCATCAAGTATTTATAAATAAATAATAAATAATAAATTTAATACATGTTCCAATTATATTGACTATCGGATAGCTCATACACTGCCGGCGGAATGCACGTATTGTCGTCTCGTCCTATGTGACCCCTCAACAAAAACATCATTTGCATAACCATTACCGCATCCTCATCGCTACACGTCGAGAATGTTGGCCCTTTTATGTAGTCTTCTAAATCTTTCAGCCGTAAATCTTCATCTCTCACATTAGGGAACAACTGATTCCATAATGTTGAACTTGTGCTGACTTTTGTATTTATTATATCAACATAAGGTCCAAATCTCAAACCGCTAATCAAACAAAATTACGTTCCACCATATTCAACCACCCTGCCTTGTAACTCGAACCGAAACTTCCCAGCCCTGGCTACCTCTACATCACGAACCTCATGCAACATCATCAAATGACAAAGCATCGGGTCACCATTCGGGGTGGGCATACCAATGAAGATCCCAAAAGCTGTCTCTCGAAATAATTCAATTCGCCTACTATTTAGTTTTGTAATATACTTTTTCAACACAATCCCCAACGCCCCTTTAAAAGTACATTCTGCAGGCTATACACGCAAACTATGCTGCAAAAGATTAAAATATATGCCAAAATTAAAAAAATAATACTGAAAAGTAACTTTAAATAGCATTGTACTTTTATTTTTATAGTATTGTACTTATATATTGTTTTTTAACAATTTTATGCAACAAAAATAATGTTTTTATTCTATAACTTTTTATACAATGGTCTACCTGAATAATTTTCTTTCAAAATAAATTGTCCCTTTTTTATAACAAATTTACAGAATTTTACAGAAATGGTCCCATATATATTATAAATTTTACATAAATGGTCCATTTTAATAATAATTATAGAAATTTTCAATGTTTTTTTTTAATTACAGAAATAATCGGAAGCGGGGCAAGCTGGGCGTCAGGTACATCGGCCCCTTCAGGGTCATAGCCCGGGTGGGCAAGGTGGCATACCGATTGGATCTTCCAGCCGAGCTCAGTCAGATCCACAGCACTTTCCATGTATCTCAGCTACGGAAGTGCCTAGTAGATGAGACAACGGTTGTACCCTTGGAGGACATTCAGGTTGATGACAGCCTGAATTACATTGAGAAGCAAGTGGCGATCCTAGATCGCAAGACGAAGGAGCTGAGAAATAAGAGAGTCGAGTTAGTGAAGG